AAGAGGAAGAAAGAGAAAAGATACGTAAACGCAGAGAGAAAGACAAGCTGCAGCTGTAAGTATGACATAAGTCCACTTCACACTAAAAATACGCTTCCACTTAGTTTTCTCATGTATAAATATTTAAGCTTCCTTCCTTCTTCAGTACAATTCTTCCCTCAGTTATATCACCATGGTTGGTCACAAACAGGTCCTTTAAGCATTTAAGTCTGAGGAAGACATATGGACATTTCACAGTGGTTTCTCAGAGCCATCCCTATGTGTATCCTATAGGCTATGACTAAATTACTAACATTTAAAAGAAAGGCACTGTGAAAAGTGTCTAAGCCATTCTCATAGCCTTTAAAGTTAGCTCTGAGAATCATAAACCTGAAAGTGCTCAACTTTCTCATTTTTTAAAAAAAATTTTAAACTATCCAAAAATACAGTTCTTCCAAACAAACATACCTTCAGCTCCCAATGACAAATCATCTTCAAAACTTCCTCCATTTCTCACAAGCACACCTGAAAAAAACATTTAAAAATTCAGAAGATTCATCCTGGTGTTCTATTCTTCCCCACCCCCATATAAAATCATTGTTTTAGTTAAAACAAATTTACCAAACGACATATTTTACATGATACAGTAAAATGTTTCAGACCTGAATGTACTTAAAATTATTCTGATTACAGAATTTCAAGAAGCAAGTACGAGCTTCTACTTTATCATTAAAAAAACCATGTTTGCAGCCAGGTTAAGTTCTCAGAAGTCAATCTACAGGCTATTTATACTTATAATACCTTTGAAGATGTTCAATTAGATAAGAGTTCTTACCAAAGAGTTTCATGGAAAACTAGATCCAGGAGCAATAATTCCTCTTACCCACCTCATATAAAGTCAGGAGCTCAAGCTAGATTTTCCTGACACTGTAAACGTTTTTTATATGCCTTGCCATTACCTGCACATTCTTGTTGTACTTTGAACTTTACAATCCTGTCTTGTACAGGTGGTAAAATTTCAGGTGTGGCAATTTCAGTTAATGTAAGCAAAGAAATGCTGCACTAAAGTTGACCTAGTTCACTCAACATATATTTTCCTTATTTTATCATATCATATTTCTATATTTAATTACTCTTAATATCTAATTAGACAATAAAAATATAGGTTTTACATTGTGGAAAGGTTTAGCAATTTGCTTAAACTCACCACTATTTTCGGATTTATGATGATTTCTTCCTTTTGGCTTCTAGCTCAGAATAGCATATTTTACAAACATAAACGTCACTTTTATTACTCACATATACGTGTACACTTTCACGCAGAAGACAAATGAAGTAGGACTCTTACAAAGAACAGATACAGAAAGACAAGTTTCTCTTACCCTTCAACGTACTACTGCTTTGCTCATCCAGTGAGGCTCCCAAAGGTGTACTGAAAACACATAAACATATATAAGCCTTAGTTCTGTGAAAAGCTGTCTGGAGAACTATCACTACACAGCTTTACTTAAATGGGTTACAGCTAAGCAAGCTTCTAATCACAGTTTAACTCCCCTCCCAAAACACACAGGAATGAAAGTGGATTATATAAGTAATATCCTACTAACTAAGCAAATACCTATTGTCAAGTCAGTTCACCAGGAATGCTTTAATCACATGTCTGCTCTGCCAGCAATTAAGAACAGGAATGACAATTACAAATGATATGAATTGGCATTTTCTTTGCAAAAACAAAAACAAAACAGAGAATGACAACAGCTATTAAGAAAATGTCTGCTCCTCTTGATCCCTTCCCTAGAAACAAAAATTAGAAAAAAACCCACAAGTCTTCAGTCTTAGTAATTTACCCTATAAAATTAAAAAGTTGAGAGTCAGAAATAAGGCTAAACAATTTCCTCTCACTCTTATAGTTAATCTATTAGATTAACCTCGTCTGTTAATCTACTGATAGCACTTCAGAGCATCACCTACTGCCTCCCTTGCCCCAACAACTATCTTTTTTATATAAATGGAGAAGCTTGAGATGTACTTTCTACTTTTCAACTAAAAAGTACATATATTCTTCATTTAACTCTAAACGTTACTAAGAAGTCAGCTTGAGAATCAACATAAAGAATTAGCCATTGCCAAAATTTTTTTACATTCTTGTAGTTCAAACACAGATGACTTATAAATTTTTTTCATATACAAAAATACTGTTAATCTTCCCAAAACTAAGTTATAGTAAGAAACACATTGTTTTATCTTGAAACTTCTATTTGTTATACAATCCTTTCTTCCATAGCAACTTATACCTGTTAAAATTCACGTTTTCATATACAAAAATACTGTTAATCTTCCCAAAACTAAGTTATAGTAAGAAACACATTGTTTTATCCTGAAACTTCTATTTGTTATACAATCCTTTCTTCCATAGCAACTTATACCTGTTAAAATTCACATCAGACATGGAATCAATCATGAAAATATCAGTTTCAAAGAAACGATACCAAAATGACAAATGTTAAAATTTTCTGCAAGCAAATATACGAGCAATGGCAGGTCTTTGAAAATTAGTGCTTTTGAAATGTAAAAGAATCATTAGCAATCACCATAAAGATATTAATAAAATCTTTAAACCAAGTTATTGCACATATCTTAATAAAACTCTAACTTCATGCCTTTAGAAAAACGATTCTTCTTCCCTGATGGCTACTTTCTTAGCTAAGCCAAAATACTGCATTACTTCGTCCACAGATGTCTCTACTGGTCTGTGCACTAACAGAAAATGGCAAATAAGCAGAATACAACTGGGATTCTCCTTCAAAGACAAGCTCTCACTCTTATAGTTGCTCCCTTCCAAATTCTATCAAGATCTCTACCCGCTTTCTTAGAAGCTAATTCAACTAATTTGTTTCCACTTAGTAAAAAAAAAAAAAAAAAAAAAAAAAGGTATCAAAATAAAGACTCCCTTTAAGGAAAGAAAACATAGTATCTTGATTCAGGATATGAACAAGAAGACTATCTGAGAACTTATCAAAGGGGGAAAATGCCATCTTCAGGTCATTTGTACATAATGTACAAAATACATAAGATGCCCAACTCTGAGAAGAAACCTAAATTACTAATTAAAAAACACACAGTTGCATATATCCTAGCAGCCAAATCTGTGATAATACAGCCAACAACAAAAGACCGCTTGTTCTAGTTTTCCTGGGTACAAATGAATGCCACTTTTATATAGAATATATGCAATTGTAGGAAACAAGAAGAAAACCTATGAGAGAAGCAGTAGACTACAGAATCTGCCTACACAAATCAAGATTAGCAGCAAAACTTCTGGAATTCTCAGGGACGATTGTGCCCTGATGAATACCGACATTTGTCTTTTGCATTTATCTTAAAAGACGCAATTACTTACTGTCTACTTGACATGATCCCTTACATGATCTTAATTCCTACACATCACAAAATAAATAATTCTTCTCTTGCTTTCAATTTTTAAGAAAATTCTTTCAAACACACACTTGAATTTAAACAACAAAACATGACAAATTTATTTTGAATGCTAAACCTATTTTAAGATACCAATAAGCCAATACTGTACTTAGGACTATATTTAAATATAAGAGTGGAACTGAAGGTTTTTAAAGACCGGAATAAAAGTTACAAGACCTCATCTTCAGACACATTTCTAAAAGGAAAGTTGAAAGATACTGGTTTCACAAGATCTCTCCTAAAAGGTCCTGAAGATGCTTGCTTATTTAAGATTTCAACCTTTTAAATTTTACACTGTTTCCATATTTAACAATAGAATGATCCAGCGGCTCACTATTAGGATTTCTTGATCCATGCTCTGAGTGGAACCACCTAATATAGGCCAGAGTCTCCTAATACGAAAATCAGGGGGTGAATTAGAGCTAGTTTGTTAATCTGAGGGCTTCAAGCAGTGTATCTGTCTCTGCGCATCTTTAAAGAGAAGGTCCATATATTTCATAATTATCTCAGAAGGGTCTCTGACACCCGCAATAAAGATTAAAGAGTTTTGTAGTGAAGAGTGTTCGGTAAAGCTCCAGTCAATTCTTCAAAACAGAGCATTAATATAGTGGTGGCCAATATTATGTTTTCAGAGGAGAAAAATAAACTAGCATATATGAGAATCACTTTCCAAAAACCAAAAAAAACCAAAAAACAAAAAAACCCTTCCCTAACTCTAGTACTTCAACAAAATAATAAGAAAAGCCTGAATTAAGAAGGCAAAAACATGCTCAGAAGCAAATACTAAAATCAGTTTAAAAGCTACATTCTTCATACAAGATTTTACAACTAGTGAATAAACTGGAAAAAAATAAAATATGAAACAAGCAAATTTTACTGTAGTCAGATTTAGCCGCAATATGATTCATCCTCTCAGTATTTTATCAAACATTTTTGAACCAGTTGCCAAAGCATGTAATTAAACAGATTTATGCAGTCTGAATGCCTTCAAAGCTCTATTTCTCTGCTGTGAATTCCAGGACCTTCTGACAAACCCATGTGCAAGAAGTAAACTAACTACCAGTACAAAGGTAGCTAATTTTAATAGCTCCCCAAACAGAATTAAGGCAGAGAAATAAAATCAAAAACCAGTTAGTGTAGCTAAGTAAATTTAACTTATCTAAAACACATCTGAAAGGAAAATGACTCCATGCCAGATGTACAGATGCCAAAACAAAAGTAAAATAGTCTGTGAAATATGAGAATTCTCTCAGCTAAAACCAGAGCAAACATAATATGGCATGATTATCTTTTTAGGCTTCTGATCTCTGATGCTACTCATATCATGCACAGGCAGCTGAAGTCCGAACAAGATCACTAAATAATCAGCAGCCACAGTACTTCCATTTCTAATCGCTTAAAGGAGGAAGCTATCTGCTGGCTCACTTTCGAGTTTATAGCTCAGAATGGCCACGGGACCCACAAGGACATGGCCCCAGTCCCTGTGCTCGGGCGTCCCATCTGCGAGGATCTCCCTCCCGGACGCGGGTGGGGTGAGCGAGAACTCACCGGCAGTCCTTGAGCCATATCGCGATCTTCTCGTTAGGCACGTTTCCTGCGGGGGACAGCGAGGGGACAGCTCGTTACCAACCCCAGAGGGACTCTGATGGCGGGCTCACCCTGGACACTGCTAAGTAGAAAAACCTACTGGGGCCACAATGCAGACTAAGCAACGCGTCTTAGCGTCCATCTGAAGGAGAATCTCATGGCAGCACGGCTGTCTATGTTGACGCTAGAGACGCTTTCTCAAGCGCTTGCATTTAAAGGTCGCGAGTGTCCCCTCTCCCCTCGGCCTATTAAGCACCAAGGATCTTCCTGAACTCACAGCAGGCGCCCAGGGCGCACGAGACTTGCCCCCGCCCACCAGCCCGCACTTTCCCGATTCCCCTCCCGCGGCAGCCCGCCCGGGCGCACCGACCTCTCCCCGCGGCCGCCGGCAGCTTCGCGCCGGAGAGGTCGTCTTCGTCGTCCTCGTCCTCGTCCTGCGTCGTCGCTTCTGTGGACAGATCCTCTGTCTCCGACGCCTGCCAGGAGCTGCGGCACTTGGCCCAGGCCTTCCTTCTGCGACTCGCCACTTGCCACTCCAGTTCCTCCTCCGTCTCCGCCGATGCCACCAGGGGCCGGTCCATGGCCGCACAGGGGGGCTCCGCTGCCCAGCCGGAGCCTGTGCGAGACAAGACGGCGGCAGGGACCCCCACCCCTGCTGTCTGCGCCCGGCCGGGCTGGGGGCCCCGGGAAGCGGGA